ACTGCAGAGCTATGTGATTTAAAGAAAAAAAAATAAAACTGACTGATTATAATAACGTTTTCTTTATTTTTCTCTCAAAACATGATCCTTATAAGGAAGTTTCGATTTCGGTTTCGGCCGAAACTGAGACCGTTGCCGAAATTCGGTTTCGGTTTCGGTTTCGGTCGTAAAAACCAGTTTCGGTCGGACACTATATGTTTGTGTTTGAAGAAGTTTCACTTCAGTAACGTGTTGTGTAATTACATGTTTTTTTTTTTTTAATTAACGTACTTTCACCCTCTATATTCCTATTAGTGGGCTGTTTTCCTGCTTACAAATGTGACTACTTGTTATTGTAAAATTTGTTCACATACCGAATTATGTTAAAATCTGATGCCTGGTTCTCCGACTATTACTCTACCTAGGTAATTTAAACCATAAGCGTAGCAATGATTTTTTGCTAGGAGGAGGGGGGGGGCAAGTTTTAAACTGTACCTATCATGCTTATAGGCTCATAAGGATACTCTATCGAGCTCATCGAGCTATACAAATAAGTGAGAAAGACAGATTATAAGGCTACAAGCGTCACGATCTTACCTCGAGCTCAACCAATCACAATTGTAAATAGCTCAATGAATTGAATCACATTGAGCGACGGAATAATTTGAAAACGAATAACAGAATTGATCGACTAAACTTTCTGGAGAAATTTCATGAATATATATATGTATATATATAAATTATTGAAGATTTATCTTGAATAATTGATATTATAGGGCGGGCTAGGAGGATTCTAGGGTAGGCCTGGTCCACCTTGCTCTGTTCAGCACAACCTACAGTTTTGTGTGGACAAAATAATAAGAACAACGGTGTACATTGCCTACGTATTCCCGAAAAATTTAATATACGGTTCGTTTTTAATATCATTTTTTTAATTAACACTTGCCAAATTAGCACTTACTTGATAGGTGCCTTAACAGACCTGAAATAAATACAAATATATAAGCCGGAATTTTATCACATTGCTGTCAATGATGTAACAAAATACACTAATTTTATTATTACTAAATGGTAACTACAGTTGTAGACAAAATTAATTAAAAGTGAAGCGCATTACTTTATTTTTAAAATGGAATGTTTCTAAAATTTGCTCCCCAAAATATTTTATAAATGATATGTTTAGACTAATCGAAAGTAAAAACTAAATGATTACCATCTTCTATAGTGTTTCAGTTTATGTTTTTCGAACGAATTAGGAAAGAGATAAAAGATATTCACTTTTGAGTTTACTCACCAACTATGAACTTGTGGGGGAAAAAATGGGTTGATAAATTCGTATACAAAGCAAAATTTTCTCTAGCTTTTGAACTTTTTCGGGACTCCAGAATGTTTGTTACGGGGAATTTCCGGTAAAATGAGAAATGTAGGAAAATTGTTGGTTCTAAATCTTTCATAAATGATGAAGAATATTTAGATTATTTCAATCTGTTTTAATATTCCCATTCATCGACCTATTACCAAAATTAAAAAATAACGTATACAAAAACCGCACTTTAAGCTTTTAAATTAAAACTATAGTAATACAAAAGAAACTAAAATTCCAAAAAAATTCTTAAATAAGTTTTCAACAGCTAGAAATTATATTCGAGATAGAAGAAAACAATTGGAAAATAGTGACCTGGTCTAAATGTTTACATTCCAGTGTATTGTTGGTTGCATACATATGTATTATAATTTTTTTTTGAAAAATGGTAAGGGTTAACTGCTAGGCAGCAATGTTATAGATTCAAAGGCGAACGCAAGATTTTCGTTCGGGAAGGAGTTGTAATTTTTAATTTAATTATGTTTTTTTTTGTATATAAACTGGACCAAAATTATTCTTCATAAATTTGTGTAGATATAATATTGCTAGCACACATCAGCGTACCTTTTTTTCAATTAGAATTAATCATTTCTTCTTCATTCATACCTTGGTCAAAATATCTCTCCTATATTTCCGAAAATGCACTCTTGCTCGGTTTTAACCCTTACCATAAACTATATTTCTTACAAAGTTACCATTCATTACAGTCACTTCCCTCTACAAATTTCTAAAGATAAATATTACGACATATTATAGTAATTTTCTCATCTTTAANGAACAACCCTATAAATTAAAAATCGATTCAATGCAAAATTTACACATAAAATCGTTAGTGTAGTTCTTATTTTGTTAGATTTCATATGTCCAGAAACGTTGTACGAAATAAATATGGATTTATAACTATTTTAAATAAAAGCTGTTCTCCCATAACAATATGAATGTAAATAAACACTTCTACAATCCCAACTACTAATTTGATAACCCATAAGAGCAAAAGATAGTTATAGAACTTGAGCAGCAACGATATGAAGGGAGTCATACAAGGATGCACATTGTCACCGCTACTTTTTAATCTATACAGTGATGATACAAGATGCGATAAACATCATTACTTATAGGATAACTTTAGGGATAAATGCACAGGGGTAAAAAAGTTTAGTATGCTTAGATTTGCAGATGATATAATAATATTGGCATCTAGCAAAAAGGAGTTAAATATAGTATTAAATAAAATGGAAGCAGTATTGACAAAATAGTATTGCATGAAAATAAGCAAAAGTAAAACAAAAATACTAGTATAGAAGGGAAGAAGAAAGAGTGAATACGAATATACGAGACGAGAAATTAAAAGAAGTGGCTGATTTTCGGTATCTACGAAGTCAGATAATTCAGGGTGGAAAAAGCAGTAAAGATATAAAACAAAGAATAGCGCAGGGTCTAGTCGCCTTTAACAAAAACACGTCACTTTTATACTTGCGAAGGGTTAATTTAGAAATTCGAAAAAGAATGTTATGGGTGCGAAACATGGACGGTGGGCGCGGTGGAAAAGAAAAAGTTAGAAGCGTTCGAAATGTAAAGTTACAAGCGAATGATGAGGATACCGTTGATAGAGAAGGTTAGAAATGAAGAGGTACTAGGAAAACAGAGGACTTTATGGAAGTCAATAAGAAATAGGCGAGATAGGTTGGTAATAAACCTTCTCAGACATGAAGGTAGTCAGAAACATTTTAGAAGCAGAAACAGGACTTAAATGGAGCAGGGGTAGACCTAGATTAGATGGCTGCTAACAAATGGTTAAGGATGTTTAAGGGAAATGCGAAGATTAGCTCAGGATAAATAAGAGTGGAGGTGAATGCAATGTTTTGGTTTATTGCAGTGGGATCAATGTGGAATCGTAATGACACCGTGTCGAAAACTAGGCCTAAATTAATCTATCTTGGATGTTTTTCGCACAATGTTATATATATAATAGATCATGCGCATCGGTTTTCGTTTTGTAACAGCTATGTATGAATAGTTGCGAATATCTAATTTTACTTTTGTGGAAACGGAATGTAGGAGAACAAAGATTGTACCTGTTTGTATTTTCGTGTATGGTCTATAATAATCGTCTATAATAGGAATACATATTTGTTTTGTACGATTAAGGCTAAAAACAAGTCTCTGAATTTAATTAATTTTCAGAACAATACTCGACGGTTTGAAGAAATATATTCTAATGTTCTGTTTTCTAAATAGGTTTTCAGTTTGTAGATNCTCACTTATCTGACTTCCTAGGTATCTAAAATCAGCCACTTCTTCTAATTTTTCGTCTCCTATCTTTATATTCGCTCTTTCCCTACTTTTTCTTCCCTTGCATATCAGTATTGCAGTACATTATTGCTGAAAAATTAAATTAACAGGTTAATAATTCCTTTAATTGTTAAAATCGGTTTTCAGAACCATCAAACGAGGGTTTTTTGAAATACTGATTAGTCTATTTCTAGGTACATAAAATTATCGAATTAATATTTGAATAGTGCTTAAGTATCAAGCAAATCTACCACACATTAGACAGTTTCATTCTTTCTTCTTTGTTGATCAATTTACCCCTAATTCATCTATATTTTAACGTAGCTATGCATGCAGTATTAAATATTTGATTTGTACCAAATATCTAAAACAACTCAGTGTTTGACTGACGTGTATTATTTTTCAGATATTTTCAATTTTTAATGTTGAGAGAATAACGAGAATGCACCTGCATACATATATGGAAAGTAATAATTTAAATCTGTTTCTATAGAGAGTATGTAACCATTATTGCAATAATGTTAAAAATAGTAGTACTACAGATAAGATGAATAAAGGTTTTATGAATTTTTGTTTTATGTGTTTTAAACAGTGGCTATATAACATATATCTAACTTTAGGGCACAGTTTACCTTAAATTTTTAATAAAAATATCTTTAACTCTTATAGTTAAAATTGTTTCGTTATTACAGTGCCTATTGCAAGTTTCGTTTTACATATTTTAACATCTGCACCATTTAAAACAAATAAAAAGTTTACAGTAAATTTTCTATACCTATGTAAGTATTACGGAAATTTTGGCATGTCTAAATATTTAGATAATATTATCATCACCAATAATGTACAGTAAAAGTAAGAGAACAAAGGATTCTATGGATGTCAATAAGAAATAGGCGAGATAGGTTTGTAGGACATCTTCTCAGGCATGAAGGTTTAGTCAGAGACATTAGAAATAGATAGATCCAATACAACCACCCAGTGATTCGCATAAACATAAGGTAATAACCTTACCGAAATCCCCCAATTGTTCCGTCAATGATGATCAGGATTACCTAGCGTAATTGTGTAACGCGGCGTCGCTAGTTGTGGTGGTGGAATTTCGTAGGCAAACATGGGCATGTAAGGAATGTACTGCTGATTATTTCATAATTCGCAAAAGCAACGGAGATACATCCTTGTAGGTATGACGTATACAGATAAATGGATACAGGGAATTCCCCCGCAAAATCCTCAAGCGGAATCTCTGTTTGCCGTTAAATGACTCGGATACTCAAACCAAATAATGAATAAAAAATAGAGAAATTGTGTAACTTAGGATAAACATCTGGACGTTGAGTTGTCATTTTTCTTCAAATTAGAACACTTTGTCAGCACGAAAGCTTCACAAGAACTAACTTCTGTTACATTATGTTTGTAAATAATAATTCAACACCCGGACTACTGGATTTTCGATAAGTGATATATCCAAACAAAGAGAGGTAGACATAGGTGGCGGTTATAGTAAAAAGTGTTTATTTTTTATCAATCTGCAACATCCAATAGCTTTTTCTCGGTGCCAATCATACTCTTCCCTGTCCGTATATTTTGTGGACGAGTACATTGTTTTTTTTTTATATTTTCAAAATATAACTTAGTTTTGTATCTTGTGGTAATAGCACTAACATCGCCAATCGAACGGTGACTACGGTTCCTAATCGTTGTCACGTGCAATTGGCCTGTCTGCGTACCAGCTAGTGTGAAGGCCACGAGTAGGTACATGTGTTTCGTCATTTGACGCTTACGATAACGAAGGGCGAGAAGATAATTCGGGCGCCAGTCTGGCTAGTGTTCTCAATCAATAACAGCATGTTAACTGGGGTACCTTTTGTGGATAGTTTTTACACCCCTTATGTTGTTTCGCGATTACGAGATTCACTTTACAGTATTTCCAAATGTTACCTTTTAAATATTCCGGAATACGAATCAGATATAGTGATATAGGCATATTACCTGTGTCTAATGTTTTACCATGTAGATAAGGTAAAATGTTTACCGAACATATAAATTACACATTTTATGTCGCATGAGTGAAAGTGCACAATTTGGTGAGTATGTTTTTTCAACGACGCCTGACTGAAAATATAGCACCTGATTATTTAAAAACTGTACTAAACTAACCAAACTCATAAAATCTTTTGAACAAAGCGTAACATCCCTCGGAGGTCTTAAATTACATTTATTGGGTTTATTTTACGTTATTATTTATATGAAAAGGTGGTCGAAGATATGTACGACTTTCTTTATAGCACGTCATATTTTTCAAAGGACAATAACCCTTCGGCCGGTTCTCAATTCGCCTGTACTTATATCAGAATCTTTAAAATGCTGTATTATGAAATTAACGAATTAACCCTAGCTCTTACTGTGTTTTAATAAATTTGGAAATTATATAGCAATACATTTTACAACCAACATTTTTGCAAAATATATATTCTATTTATGACATTGTTTTATTAATTATTAATAGTGTTCAATGTTAATATGCAACATCAACTTGAAATCACTTTTCGATTTTGAACCACTACAAAACAACATTCCCGGCGGGGGGTGACAACAGCAACAAAAATATTTTCCTCATTAATTTGAGGAAATTTGCAGTGGTTCAAAATCGAAAAGTTATTTCAAGTTGATGTAGCATATTCTATTTATACGAGTATACTATTTTGAATGTACGAATTATTAATTTAAGCGTTTGCATAACCCTCAACGTTCCTTATCATTCTTTATTTTTTATAGATGCTGAATGTGCTTATGGAGAGACGAAACATATAGATTGTAATTCTTGTTCTTGTACAAAAAATGGTTATTGGGCTTGTACAAGAATGGCTTGTATCAGCGGCGGTCTTAATGATGCTTCTTCTGGTGAGTATCAATACTATCTATAACCAATAACTTCTCTAACGCATATTTAAAAATGCACCCTTCGTATACAAAACGCTTGATTTTGGAACCTCGATTATTACTTATAGTTGTATTAATACGAAGGCGTAGAAGGGCCAAACACAATTTTTTTATTAATGTTCGACTTGTAATCCGAAATTTCGAGTTGAGTATTTATTTACCCTTCAGTATACGAAGATAGCCTATCTCGGCCAGAATCAATAGTATCGTAAAATTATGATTCGGGCTGATGAATCGTGGTCTAAATAAACTGTCCAGATGTTTCGTTGACAATTGTGACTGAAATCTTCAGCGCTCATGTTATCAATACAATAACACTGAAGATATCTTAACCCGATCAGTCATCTGGACCCAACTATACAAAGATTACATTAGGTTGCGATTCAATAAGCATTTAGAGTTACAAGTTGAAATTTCGAGTTGCAAGTCGAAATTTTGAGTTACAAGTCGAAATTAAAAAAAAATACAACGTGTAATTATACAACACGCTACTGAAGTGAAACTTCTTCAAACACACAAACATACCGGGATAGGGATTAAGGAATTGGCGTCAGTGGCGCCGTTTCGACTGTAGAGTGTAGGCACACATACACAAACACATACAAAAACATTCATACATTTTGTTCGGGCTACACTATACATGCCGCAGTTGCCTGTAACGAACGTTGCATTGAAGCACGTTCACAGCTGAAGCGATCCCCACTACGAACTAGACTACGTGGCGGAGTGGAGGGGGGACATCCGTTGCATGATTTCGTTACATCGCAACTCGCATGAAACGAACTTACCTTACCGTGCGTAAAGAAGAAGTTTCACTTCAAAAAGTATGTTTGGCCCTTCTACGCTTTCATACTTTAGAGGGCATTGAAAATAGAATTCATTTTTCGTTCTTCCTAGAAAAATAAGTCTCACAAACATTTTCTTTTGCATATTAAGAATTCACAAGCGATTTCTATTCGATTGAATACTTGGAGTTTATTTTATAATTAATTAAAAGCTCCTAATCATTAAATTAATTACCAGTTAACTGATTAGTTACAAACAAAATTATTTCTGTCGCAATCAATTTACATAGACTAATATTTAAGTATCTTTTCTATTGGCTGATTATATACAGCTTTAAG